ATGATGGAATTTTTACTCTACTTTTTCCTAGACCCAAGTACAGGTGACAGTGTTCATGACACATTCCTCCACTAATTTCCCATCTTCCAGTTTTCTTGTTACTGTGCTTTCCTTCCCATCCCATTCTTGATATTGAACCAATGCACCATCTATAAAGTTACAGTCTGAGCTTTTCTGCCTTCAGCTGTAGTTTCTTCAAACTTCTCTCCTAAGTTACATGAAAACTGTTGTTTTCATCGTGCTCTCAGTTTTTATGGTAAGGTTTTTGCTGTCAAAAGTGATGACACAGTCGGGTTTGGCCATGGCACCCATTTTTTGCAGAGCCATTCTCCTCCTTCCTTCATGTACTCATCAAAGCCTTAGCTCTCTACCAAGTGCCACCTCCCTACCAGCTGCTGAATGGTGGCCATGGTGGGCCGGGCAGCGTGCTAAGTGGGCAGAGCATAGTGCAGGGTGGGCAGCATGGCCCCAATGACTAAAGTTTTGGTATAAAAAGTTTTATTGGAATGCAGTCACACCCATTCTTTTATGTATCATCTATGGCTGCTCTCATGCTATAGTGACAGATTTGAGTAGTTCTTAGAGACCATGTGGCCCTCAAAGCCTAAAATATTTACTATCTGCCTCTTTACAGGAAAAGTTTGCCAACCATTGGTCTAAAGGAATCAAATTCCAGGGAAGGATTAGCTCTTCCTAGGTCAGAAAACACCAATGGAGAAGTTTGGCTGAATTTTATGTATTTTTCCCAGGATAACCCTTATTTTTCTTGGGACTGTCATTTTCCACAACTGGATCTTCTTTTTTTGATTCGATTTTTTTTATCATAGTTAATTAATAGTTATTAGTGAGCTAAAAAAATCATGTTAAAGGCAAAATTAATTCATGTCCCTCTTTAAGTCTTGGTCACAAGATATAATATTAGAAAACTCTGTCTTTTTCTGAGAAACTACACTTCAGAGTCAAAACAGGGATGTAGGTTCCTGATGTTGACAAGAGGTTAGCACCAAGAGAAACTGTACTTAAAACAATTTGGTTTAAACAGCTCGTGTTTATATTTCCTTCAGCAAGTTCAGTGGTGACTGCAAACGGTCAAGGATGAGCATTGAAGGCATTGCTGCCTCTCTGGGGGCTGACTAGTCTCACTGCCCAAATGTTCTCCACTCACTGATGTCTTTGCCCGCATCTTCACTGGAAGGAGGAAGCCACTCCTTATGGTCAGCATTTGCTGGTCTGTGATCAGTTAAGCACACCAGAGCGATGCAGGGAGTCAATGTTAGGGGTCTGGCAGGCCAGTCTGTTATGCTAATTAGGAAGTCTAGACACTCTGGGTATGCCTCGTGTTTTTATTTGTTATTGCATCAGCTCTGCTCTCATTGGTCATGCTCTAAATTATATAAGCCATTACATCATTGGTTATATAAGTTGTTTACATAAAACCTTTTTGACTTCAGGGAACAACAGGTGTTAACCTCCTTTGTGTGAGATAGCCATATGCTTATCTGTAACATGTTTGCAATGTTAACTATTTTTGAAAAAAATATGTTTTCAAACAGGAGATCAGTTTCAGTGGAAAAGCTTGTATGCCACTTATAATTATAGTAAGTGGATTTTACTCACGCCTATCAAAATGTAGGAGAATACATCCTTTACAGAAAATTCATTTCATATATCATAAAGCCCCACCATTATTTAGTTTACTTAAATTTAATCTGATATTGCTATTTTTCTATGTTAATATAATTTAATGTAGCATATGAACATAAAAGTGATTTTTGTAAATTTAATTTGAATATCAGATTATTTTTACTAGAAGTACAATAACATGAACTCCATGGAAATATTTTTCTGTATTATATTTGACCGTTAGCTAATCATCAGTTTGATAGCCAAGCAAAATTGCATGTTATAGGGGAATTTTCCAACTGGAACAAAATTTAATGAAAGAATATTTAAGATCATCGTTGATTTCCCCATGCTTACTACTCACCATACTTCTACAAGTCCTGTCAACTTTAAAATAAACCTTGAATCCATCCTCTTATCTTTATCTCTTCTTTATCTCCTGCCTCTTTCCCAGTCAAGCCATTTTCATCTTTTAGTCAATATTTTAATCAGAATAGGTTATATTTACAGTAATAAATTAACCTTCTAATCTCAGTAGTTTACCACAGCAAAGGTTTACTATGGCTTACATAAAGTCCAGTGTGGTTTGGTCTGTGACCCTACGCCATCTTGTAGCTATACTGTCTGCACTAGAGGCTTTGAAGTTCGTCAGGTGGACTGGAATGACTAGGTCACTTTTTCTTACAGCCCATTGGTCAGAACTAGTCACATGGCTCCAACCTAAGTGCAAAGAAGTCTGGGAAATGTAGGACATGAAATATTTGGAGATCATAATTTTATGTGCCATGCCCAGATTATTATACTATCATCCTAATTGGTTACCTTATTTCCTCTCACATCACACTTCAGTGCTTTCTCTACTAGTAACCAGAGTGCTCAGAATAAATGTTTCTGTTACTATCTTGCTAATAACTTCTGTTTTGCATAAAATTCAACACTTTACCCTCACCAGTGCAACTACTGTATGATCTTGCCCTTGCCTTCCTCTCACTAATCTCATGATTGGCAATTGGTGTTATCAAATATTATCTGTGATTAGTGTGTTTTGAATATGCATTCTCTTTTACTTTGTCCATAGTTATGACAATGTGATTTAAGTGTCAAATTTACAAAATCACAATAATGACGAGAAACTGAATAAATAATAATATCAAGAGAAGTCCTCTAATTTATATTAAGGTTTCCTCAATCACATTGTATACAATTAGGATCTTAAAAAAAAAATAGCCTTTTGGGAATATTGATGTAATGTAAAATCCTGTTATAATGGATAAATTCTGTATAGTAAACTTAAAATCATTGTGTTCAGTTTCTCTGACAATAAATGATCTCTTAAATGTTATCTCTGGCCAAAGTTAATATGGAAGATTTTCCATTATGATTAAATGTGCTTTTAAAAAATTAATAAATTTTATTTTTTAGAGCAGTTTTAGGTTTATAGCAAAATTGAGCAGAAAATAGAGTTCCCATATATCCCTTGTACCTACACAAATATAACCTTCCCCACTATCAATATACTGCCCCAGAGTAGTGCATTTGTTACGATCAGTGATCCTATATTGACACGTCATTATCACCCAAAGTCCATAGTTTACATTAGGGTTCACTCTTGAAGTACATGCTATGGGTTTTGACAATGCAGTTTTTAGACAAGATTTCATAAAGTTTGTGTTTTGCCATTAAGTAGTTATTACCCTTCAGTTGTGCCTTTAACCTCTGTCATGTTTTTCCTTGGCAATCTGCAGCTCTTAATTAATTATCCCAAACACACACACACACACACACACACACACACACACACACACACACACACACACACACANGGTATTTGAATTTATGAAATTGGGAGTGCTCAAATGTAAAACTCAAATGGAAATGCCAGTGACCAAAATATCAGAAGATGATATCAGGAAATGTTGTAAATTTTAGTCTGAAATGTTCGTGTTCTATGTGTAATCCTTGAACTTTTTTCTAAACAGGTCACACTTTTAATGCTAATAACTGAAACCAATAAGAAGAAAAATAACTGCATGTGTATAATTTATGACAATATTTTACAAGCCTAATCCATCAAACATACATGTTATTTTAACCGCACATGTTTTAAATCAGCCAGTCTTTTACAGAGTTAAACTGTACTTTCATGTGTGTATTTTCTGATTGCCAAGGGATAATTAGAAACATGGTTTCAAGTACATTGTAACTAAGATTAATTTAGCAGTCAATTTGTTTTCATTTCAACCCTTTAATTGCTGTTTGCCTAGGGGATAGTGATCCTAGAAGAAAGTCAACTTCCAAAAGACATTTTGAAAAAACAAGTACAATATGCAGACCAAGCACCTTCATTAAACACTACAGGGAATCCTCAGATTCCCCAGGAGAGTCAAGATCCTTTACCAGAACAAGATTTTGAAATGTCACCAAGTAGCCCTACACTACTTCTTCGGAACATAGAAAAACAGGTAATGAGAAGTGAGAGTAAGGTGCCAGTGGCGTGACATAACTTTTCGTCGATTTTATAAATGATTTAAATGAAGGTGTGTATATGCTTGGGGTATGCATTATGAGAGTTGGCAATTTGACATTAAATGCATGTAAAATATTTAGTATATGACTAGTATCTATTATAATATTGATATAATTAAGATTATTTAAATATAATATGTAAAGTATTAGTACATAGCCATAGGGTGATAACTCATTTATACAAGGATTGGAAAAATCTTTTTTCTAACAAAATTGATCATCATTGACTTTTTTCATGGGAAAGAACACTGGTATCACTTAATAAAACTGAATGGTTGATTAATTTAGTGATGGAGATGTTTAGTGAAAGATAATATTGAAATACGGGTTCTTTCATAAAAAAATGATAATGTAAATAGAAAGTCAAATAAGTTCCTAATAAATTACTTCGATTCCAAAGACTTTCCTGGTATTAAATACTATTATGGATGACTCCAGAAGTTTAACTCTTCTGTGTTATATCTGCCCTTTGAAATCAAACCATTTATTTTGATTCAGACANATGTGCAGTGATACCTGTTTTTAATATCATATAGAAGTGCCATAGAGATTACTTAACTCTTATTTTAGGGGTTAGCGGGTCAGAGAAAACATCAGTAAAGAGTTGATCCCTTAGGATTACTTTTGAACACAAATAGCAGTTTGCTTAATGAATCCATGGAACTGGGAAAGAGTATTCCTTAAAGGTTTGAAGGCAAGAAACAACATGATCTTTTTTTAAGAATGACAGGGAAGTATAGGATTCAAAGGAACAGAAAATGTGAGTTGTGCAAGGACAGGAGAGGAAGCTGAAGTGATGAATATTATTTAATGCATTGTAGAATTTGGTGGTGATGTCTATAGGAAGGTGGATAGAAGGCAGAAAGAAAGCCTTGGGCTTACTGGCTCTGTCTGATGGATTTGAGGGAATAGTTTCCTGATGGAAGTTTCCTATTCAATTATTGTAGCTACTGTTTCTCATTTTTAACCCTGTCTTCACTGGGCTTTCAGTTGTAGTGGTTTCCCAGTCCTTTCAAGAGCACCAGATAATTTCTCCTCTCGGATCACTTTCTTTAAAGGATATAATATCACAAGCATTTTTATGGCAAAAAGAGTTCTAAGAATGAATCAAGTTTAAAACAACTTGGAAATTTCCAAGAATGTGGGTTCCAATTAAATTGATGAGTAAATTTTATGTTTGAATCTAGATAGTCTGGTTTATATTGTTTTGACTTGGGAAAAGATATTTTAATATTCTGTATATTCTAAGCATGCTATGTAATTATTAAACATTTTTAAAAGTTTGATTATATGTTTTTATCTATTAGAATAAATTGTTTTAAGAAAATCTAAACTTACCAGTAACAATTTATATGGCCTTACATTTTTCTTTGTTCAGGCTAGATGTGTATCTGGCCCTTTGTTCCCTTAAGAATCATATTTTATGGAAAATGTCATTACAATTATGCTATCAAAATACAATATTTATTTTGGTAGTTTCTCCTTACATTTTTTAGGAATTAAGATGTTTAATTGCTTATTTATGTGAATTGAGTCAATCTATTATTATACTGAATAGGGAAAAAGCACTTTCTTAGNTAGTCTTACAAACTGGATTACAGTAGTGCCCTTGCCAAAAGATAGAGGAGCTAGGGTTCAAATATGCATGAAAGTAAGGCATTATATAAATTCTTTATCATCTCTGGCCTGTGAATGCTGGGAATCAGGTTTTTACCAAGCTGTTTATTTTAATAGACATGTTAAGATCTATATATTTGGTATGCTTATTTGAAATGTAGCAGAACATTCATTTTTTTTTTATAATTTTGACCATTTCTTTAAATTGATTTGGGGATTTAATTCGCTAATCATGATTTCTGTTTTAGCAAAGGAAACTTACATATAGTAAAATGGAGTAGCTACAGTTCGTTACATAGATTTAGATCTAGCACAGCTGAAATGACTTGTCCTACTTGAAATCGGCTTGCATGTAAAAGCCTTGTGTAACAGTGTTTACATGGTGTTAGTATCGCCATTCTTGTTTCCTTTCCTTTGCTGGCCCACTCTTGTTTCAGCCCTTCAGCACTAATAAAGTATTAAGTAGCAAAGGAAATTATCCTACTGCTGGATAAGTAATACTGAGTAAAAACAGGTGTTTGTGGAATAGAAAGATAAGAAAATTAAGTCTTTTTCTTTGATAAGAAGTTGATACGCCATTCTTGTTTCATGTAATTAGATGTTTTGGAAAGGAAATTGGGGTTTTATGACAGGAGCCAAGGAAGTTATTAAGCAGACTCTGTGAAAACTTGATTGCCTTTGTGCTTTGACTAACAGTATATGTCTTGTTTACAGTAACTGTAGTACTGAATGGAAGTGGCTTGTAGACAGAGCAAGAGTTGGCAGCCGATGGACGTGGCTTCAAGCCCAGATTTCAGAGCTAGAATACAAAATCCAACAACTAACGGATGTTCATAGGCAGATTCGTGCCTCCAAGGTATTTTCTGTGTTCTTCTATTTTAAAAAAAACATATTACTGTTTTAGTTTCTCCTCATCCCTCCACACAAAATAATTGTTACAAGCCTTTATAAAAATGATGTTTAGATTTTTGATATATTACTATAAATTGAAGCTATCTTTATAATGCCTTTGTATTTATTATGATCATTTATGCTTAAGCAATTCAGAACTTCTTTGTTGGATTGCAGGTAACAGGATATACATTTTTTGTAAACCTCTACTTTGTTGCCATTTATTTTAACATATGTAAGAAATTCTGAGTGTGTATCTTATTGGAATCTCCTTAGAGTGTTTTTGTTTGTTTTGTTTTTTAAAAAATTATAAACATAAAAAGTTCCAGAAAGCAATATGATGAACACCTGTGTACCTACCCCAAAATTTATTGACTGTAAAATTTTGCCAGTATGGGTTTAGTTTCTGGAATAACAAAGCATT